TGCTTCTTTAGTTGCTAAATGCTCCACAGTGTTCACCAGCTATAATGTTCACCAGCTGCCTGCGGAGCCCGAAAGCTTTGCTATGAGAGCAGTGAGAATGAACTAAAACAGTAAGGTTGTGGGCTGAACAATTCAACAATGAGCTGAGGAAAGCTTCAGAGTCAGGTGATGTAGGTTACCTTAAGCGACCTCTTCATATCCTGTAAGTCAGTTATTACAAAAATATCAATTTAAAGAATTGTTAAAAATCAATCAAACAATGAGTGGCCATGTTTCACACTTAAAAACTGATAACAGGGTTACAGAAAAGTATTGTAAGGAGGTTCTTACCATTATAACAACAGCAGTGAAGACATATCCAAAAATGTTCATTCTGAGTTTTTTTGGTCTTAAGATTAATTAAAATGTAAAAACAAACATGCAATCCTTCAGTTCCTTATCAATCCGTTCGACAAATAAAGTTTGTAAAGTGTAAAGTTGACACCTGGCAGCGTACTTCCCGAACAGGTGGCAGTTGTGTGAGCGTACGCCTTTTGTGATGCGGGATTACCTGATATTCTGGTGTTGCGAGTTAAGCAATTTGCATGAGTTGCTTTTAAAAGGGCTACCTAGAGTGAGTAAAAGGCTTGGCTAGAATGATTCTGTTGTGTAACAGAAATGTGGTTTGACTTATTTTATTCCTGATTCTATTAGGGAACTTTCCATGAGAGTGGTGCATCAAAGCTCAGAGTCTAACTTAATTTGATGTGCTCGAGCCAAGGCCTTGCCATCACCCAGCGTCCTCTATGGCCTACGCCCACACAAGACTTTGAAGAAATCTGATCTGAAAAACAACCTGATATCGAAGCCAAAACTAATTACCCATGGGCTACTGACTGTTCATGCTTCAAAGTCAAGGGAATGATGCATCAGTAACTGTTTTTTTTTAGGTGATCACACGTAGATGAACACGGTCTTGTTGACTATATAAAGGGTGATTGCTGCTAAAACAGACAATCTGTTTTCAACTCTAGAGGGCATACAAACCTTTGTCAGATACTTTACATGAATATTTTTTATCAGACTCAATTAGAGAGGGTTTCTTTGGACAAATAAAGTCATCATATTAAATGGCTTTACAGGAGCTGTGCAATTTCCAGGATATCTTTCAGGACAGTATAACCACCGAATGTTCTTCAGTGCCTTTCGGAAGGAAGACTGGTTGTGACTATGTGAGCGGGTTGCCCTTTAGCAACAGGACAAATCTGTTTAATTTTTTTACACCAGTCGCAGAGTACCTGGATGAAAGTCCAATACAGTTTGGGCAAATCAGCACCATCCAGAGCTGCAGTGCCATCTCATCTCAGGACTCCATTTTATCATCCCTCGCTGTGCCCACAAGCCTTCCTCTGGCCTCCTCTCAGTCTGTCCCTCTGCCTTTTCCCATGTCTCATGGCACCACCACCCTGGCTTTCATGTTTCAGGGCGGCGTGCTGGCTGCAGCAGACACTCGGTCCAGTTGCTCTGGGCTCGTGGCGTGCCCAGCCTCCCAGAAGATCCTGCCCATCCACAGTCACTTGGTGGGTACTACATCAGGTACTTCCGCTGACTGTGCCCTTTGGAAACGGATTCTGGCTCGAGAGCTGCGGCTCTACCAACTCCGCCATGGTCGACGGTTGTCCACAAGTGGAGCAGCCAAATTGCTTTCTCACATGCTTCACCCGTTCAAGGGAACTGAGCTGTGTGTGGCTGCCACGTTGTGCGGCTGGGATGGAGGAGAAGTAGATACAGTAGGTACAAAGACTGATCTCAGTGGTCGTAGAGAAACAACAAAGAGTCAAATGACTGATCTTGAAAAGACCTCTCTGGCACAGACAAAGACTCCGAGCTCTGCTTCAATAACCAGTGGACAACAGTGCTCTGCCAGAAAGAGAGAGAGTTTATCTGGACCCAGTCTGTGCTATGTGTGCAGCGATGGTACTCGCCTGCAGGGAACGCTCTTCTCTGTGGGCTCGGGATCACCCTACGCCTACTCAATTTTGGACCAAGGGGTTCGATGGGGACTGACAGTGGATGAGGCCACATCAATAGCCAGAGAGGCTGTGTACAGAGCCACACACAGGGACGCATACTCGGGGAACTGCGTAGACATCTATCACATCTCCTCCAAAGGATGGATTCGCAGGAGCAGAGAGGATTTGAAAGAGGAATATTACAGAGAAAAGGAAAGACAAGAGAGAAGGGAGAGACAGGACGTGACTCCGCCTGAGTAAAGACATAAAACAAAGAAAAATGGCATGAGAAAAGAAAGGCAAACATCGCGGAGTATTTTGGAGAGAGACGTGACGGCATCTTTGCAGCAGATACTAAATTAATGAACAGGACAGGCAGTTGCATCCTCCAGGCTATTTCTCAAATGATTTGGGCATGCATATCGTTCCCTCTAATAAACAGCTGATGTTTTGTTTGCGCTGATGATAAAATATATTCTATAACAGCACACTGCTGGCTGGCATTTTGATTCAGATGTTAAAACGCTATGAATCACTTCAAGCATGAGAGATAATGACAGCCTACTCCTGCATATGTTTGAATCACATAGACACACAGAGAAGCAGGAAAAGTGAACAGTCCAAAAATCTAAACGCCTGCAGACTGAAGGTCATAATGTATTGCCGTGTATAAGGGAACTAATTTAGCCCTAGCAATAAACAGCAAAGAGTTGAAAACTGATTTGTGTCCGCTGTCAGAATTCGTCTGAAGTTTCTTTGACACTTCAATAAATTAATGAATAAAAGACATTTTGCTGAACCTGCCTGTTCATTCTGTGTGAGCAGCCTGGTAGTAAATTAAGCATACTAGTAATTATTCAAGTGACAAAGGCTGCAAAGGAAATTAGGGCAAAACGTATAGAGCCGTTCATCCTCATCCTCACTGCCTTTTCAAACTTCAGTGGAGGCAGCCAAAGTGTGGCGGTGAAAGTTTTCAAGGGTGAGACAATTTACCAAATGGGAGGACACTTTATAGCGTAAGGACTATGCTACAACATGTCTGAAAGCTGGAGTGGGGCTTAAGGTTGTGGTTGTACACGCTGATATGATGAGCTATTTTTACAAAGCGACAGAGTTCGTAATGGCTAATGTGTGTGTGTATACATATCTCTATCTTTTATACATTCCAATAAACTACAGGCAGGATTGTGTGATGAGGCTGAGCACATCTCCAGTGCAACATCAGAGAGCTGAGTGTCTTCTCAAGCCTACACTAGTAGTACTATATAAGAGACTGCAGCTTTGAGAGGGGAAAGACTCCCTTCTTCCCCAACCTCATCCATAATTTCCATCCTCGGAAATTCATTAATGACAGAATTATTGAGAGAGTGAAAAACAAAACAAAACCAATTCGGTGGTCCAGATTTGGAAGCTTGCAGGGACAGACGAGTTCAGACAGCGAACAAAGACGGAATCGTGGTTGTAATCAAAGTTTTGAGCCTTCGAGAGGAGCTGTGACTCAGTGGGCGTTAAGGCTTCCTTTGCTCGGCCTCTGTAAAGCTTTTTGCTCAGTTTTTGCTGTTTCTAGTGCTCACATGCAGACCCCAGATGAGAGCAGAGAAGAAGTGAAATGTCATAGACCCTTCCTCCTAAGATATATCAGTACATCTGGGGGGGGGTTTCATTCGTCTAAAATAACTTATGACCCAAACAGCCAGAAATTTGCCAAAAAAATAGCTTGACAGCCCGCTCTCACAGTCAGAACATGTTTTGCACTTGTAAATTTGTCCCTGTGTGCTCTCAGCAGACTGATTACAGCTTGGCTTTTGTCTTGCTCAGTAGTTTTGGCATTAATAAACTTCCGTACTGGGTACAAGGGATCTGAAGAGTGACCTTAGGGTTGCAAGTTACTTTCTAGTCACATCAGTGAACACTTGTCTCACCACCACTTGCTTAAAGGCTCTCTTGTTTCTCATTCAGGAGACAGAACTCAAGACTGATCAAGAAACATCGACGTGCAAAGCAAGACTCCACTCTGTACTTTTTACAGTACTGAGACGCTCAAAGCATGTGATTCTGCTGCTATGCTGAAAGTACTGTTGTCTTTTTTTGCCTAATTAAAAACATCCAAAACATTTGGGCAAGAAACAAACATATTCTATTCCAGGAGGTATCAGATAAAATATGTAAAAATATCACATTGTCTATTTTTTTAGGGCAATCTCATGTTACCCTAATTTCCAAACAGATACATATGGCTTAATATTTAGATCATGGACAACCAAAGGACTACAAATATATGAAACAATGTTGTTTTGAACATTCATCCTTGAGTTCTGGATTAGTAAATTCACATTTATATTGTCTTTTTAGAAGTTGTTGTTTTTTTTCCTGAGACAAGGAATTGAGATTGCTCATTAAAATCAGCTTAAAGTCAAGACTTAATGAGAGACTGCATAAAGTGATCATCAATTTCTACAAAAAAACCCACATCAAGAAAAATCCTTCAAATCACTGGAGAACATGTCCTATCAAAGTGGGAGGTAAGGGGGTAATTATAATCATATATTGCGACATGTTTTTAGGGAGTGGGAGAGCACTAATGGTGAAATTTCATCTTTTAATGCATCCTTGAGTAGCAATTTTCTGGTCCAGCTTCTGGGTGGAACAACTAGGAAAATGCTAACTTACTGGGGATGATTATGCATACTGGCTGTATTAAAGCAGATTACAAAACACTGCTTAAAGGAAACGATACAGCCTAACCAGAAAATATTGAAGGGGCTTAAACGATTTATGTGTTGATGGAAAAAGCTGTGATAATAAATGGGATAATTAGAAACCAAAGCTGGGATTTTGAAGACAAAATGAGACAACCCAAAATGGCAATTATCATTAATATCAGTGTGGATATCAGCAGTGTCTGTGTGGTACTGTGTATCCTCAGAAATCCTATGCTTTTAGGGTTTACCATAGGGTAAACAGAGCTAGTTAGAACTAATGGAGAGAGAGAAAGTGAGACACAGGGAGGGAGGGATAGACGGAGGAAGAGAGGGGGGAGAGAGAGACTGGGCTAAGTGGACAGACCTCACGTTGAGCTCAGATGAACCTCGGCATCCTTTCCCACGTTGGATCATTTCAGCTCCGTTAAACCAGAGAACCGGCAGAGCAGAGCGGCAAACACACGGTAAGCTCCTTTCTACTCCACTGAAGGAGTTTCTTTTTTCTTTTTTAATCTTCACGATTCACTAGTTTATTCAAGTGAAGCCTCTTACGCCTTCACAGACGTGACAAGTTTCCACTCCTCTGCGCTCTCACTTTGTTACCCGTTCTGGGTGCTCAGCCACGGTGCGGCGGCTTCACACTGTTTCACTGTCAGTTTGTTCGCATGTTAAAAAGAAGCCAACCTTTTCTCCGTTTGGTGCCACAAGCAGATGTTACTATGCGCGAGCTGTTTGGGTGAACTAACACGCGGCTGAGGGAGAGCGGTTTGGAGGAGCGAGCCCCGTTTTGAGTGAGTGAACTGAGCGCCAGGCTCTGACAGATGGTACGGATATTGCTGTGCTTCCCTCCTCATTTTCTGGCTAGGTACCGTTTGTGTGTGTGTGTGCGCTCGCGGGCTGGTTTGGCGCGCGCCACACTCACCTGCCGCGTGCACTGATAACGCGGGGTCGCTGGACCTTGTTTGTCCAGTTAGCCGACAGCAGTATTCTGGGACGCTGCATTCATTATAATAGTTAGACCAAGTGTGTAAATCACATTAAGATGCATCAAGTAGGTCATTTTTCTGGCTTCCTCTAACAAGACAAGGTCACGCTCCGGGCTGTTTAGTGTATCTCTACTGGATATGCTAATAAGCAGTCCAGATGTGTGTGCGTGTGCGTGCGTGCGTGTGTGTGTGTGTGTGTGTGTGTGTGAGACCAAAGAGAAGCTGCAAAGAGCCATCATGTAATGTCATTTATGTGTGTTTACAATGTAAGGGGATGTCAGAGGATAAATGATCATCTCACATAAATAGATGCAGACAATTAGGGACATGGCTAAGCACTTGCTCAGCACAGTTCTTGTGCTGTGGCATCACTTAAGGTTAAGCTGTATTGAGTGTCAAAACCTTGAAGACAATGAGGTGACTGATGTGCTGAGTACAGGACGGCCTCTCCTCACCAGTCTAATTTGGAAGGACTTAAGAGATTTCCATGTGTGCGCCGAGCAGGAGAGAGGCAGTGAGAATGGATGAGAGGTGTGCGAGCATTAAGACGAATGGCTGAAGTAGAGAAAGCCAGAGATGCTCAAATGGAACAGAATCTGTCCACGGCAGCCCTCCTCCCAATGTACCACCACATCACACTGCCCCCCCTCCACCCACCCACCCATTCCCTCTCTGCCTCCATCTCCCATTTTTCCCTATGTAAAAGGCCTGACATGCACAGGCTATTTTTAATAAAAATGAAATAGCCTTGTTGCAGTGAAGCGACTCGATGCAGAGTGAAGTGAGACTGAAACAGCGATTTGCAATTTAGAGCTATGTCACCACTCATCATTCCATTCTGAGCCGGCAACAGCAAATCGTCCTCACGCTTTCATCCTCTATCCCTGCCTTACATTTCACACATATCTCATACGCACTCATACTCTAAAGACTTCAAACAACAGTGAATGACATGTACTGCTGGCAACGTGGTTTCGGAGCAAAGCTAGCAGGGAGAAATGTAAGCCGTGTGAGCTCAAGTCTATGCTAATACACAATAACTGAGGAAGACAAAAGTGTTTTGGATGAACCACTTCTTGTATTCTGCTTGATTTAAGATGATGGCAAACAGATGCAGATGCTGAACATGAAGCATTACACGCAGCATGCTGGAATTAGTATAATTGGTGTGCAAAATCAAGGGTGAATTTCCTTTAAAGGGGAATTCTGTAAAGGGATTATTAATTACTTTTTCTACTAACTATGATCAAATACTCATTTTTAATGTGTTCTAAAGCCTACTTTTTTTTAAAGTAGGTCAGTATATGGAGTGAAAAAGAGAACATTGATTCATTTTTGTGTGTCCTTCCTTTCATATGAAGCATTTCTTTTGGATATATCAGAAAATGTTCTGGTTCATATTATACAGTGCCATCAAAGGCCTGTGCATTACTATACAGTATGCCCACTCTGTTTGTGCTTATTTGCATCTAAATGAATCACAGCATACGTTTCATTTCAGTTAGCCAGACCACAGACGAGGCCATGAACTTATCATTTATGTTCTTTAGCTACAGCATTGACACTTTGCTTA